AGAGTGTGTAGGAATGCAGCTGTTACCGTACAAGCTGGCAGGGTATTGGTGGGGTTGAAAGAACTCCGAGTTTGCACTCAAGAGAGGCTCAGACCCAGCCCTTCTACTACTATTTCTGTTTATTTAGAGTGATCTCTTAATTGATTGGACTTTACATGCCACTCTTTTCAAGAAGCTTCTGTAGGTGTTCTGTTTTCATAATTGTTTTGTGTTTGAGGAGGTCTGCCTGCTGCCTTTCTACCTGAAGAGCATGCTGATGAGTATGTGATGTTGGTCACTCTTTTTTTTCCCCTGGGAACTTTTTAGATCTTGCCATCATGACTGAAGGCAAGATTTTCATTTTCTCTCTGAATGCCTGAAGAGTTTTTTCTTTAACCTAAAAGTTAAATACCCTAACTGGGATGTGTCTTGGTGTTTTTGCGTTCTGAATAAAAATTTCCTGACATTTTAATCTGGGGATTCCCTTCTTTTCTCTTTTATTTCTTGGAAATTCTCTTTTTTATAAATATGTATTTTCTTTCATCTGCTGTGATCTCTATTCAGAGATACCAGGTGTCCTCATGTTAGAGAGTTTGTCTTCCATATCTGTTAATATTTCTCTAAGTTTATTTTTTTGGCTTTTTCACATTTATTCACTGTTATTATCTTGTGTTTTTCCTCTATGTCAGTAATTCTATTTTTAGGAGTTTATGTTCTATTACTTGATGTTTCTAATCCATATATTAATTCTGTAATAATACTGTTTGGACCTCATTTTGTTTCCTGAGATCAAAAATCTCTGTTTTCCTCTTCTTCTGTTGTTTTAGCCTGCCATGTTTCAGTATATTTTTTAATTGAATCCGTGTCACAAAGCAATTATGAGACATTACTTCTCTTCCTTGAATTAAGCTTTTCCCTAGGATGGGCTTAGTGGTCCGTGTTTCACTTCCTTTCTTCCCTCGTCTTGCTAGAAAATATCTTCACAGCAACCATGACCTTTTCTTTTCATCTTGCTTATTCAGCTTGGGCTGATAGAGTTTGATTGACATGTCTACATTATTCCTATTGTATCCGAGATTTTTTTTTTTTTTTCCTGTGAGAGCTATTGACTTTTCTCAATACTGAAAGAATGCCAAGGATGGGGTTGGGGGAGTTCAGGTGAGGCAAAGTGCAGTCTTTGTTAAAAGAGTTCCTCTCTGCCCTCTCTCCCTCGTTCTGAGACCTGGTTAAATGCCCTAAACCAGTTATCACTGTACTGTACCTGGTTGGGGAGTATTTCCCACAGGGGGCTGCTCTGGTCCTTTGGGCTGTTTCCTCCCAGTGTACAACACTGAGGACTTAACTCCTGTCTCCCATCCAGAGAACCAGCCTCACTGCTCACTTGGCCAGGGTCACCTGGTCTCATTAGCAGAGGTTTTAACTGCTTTTTGATCAGAAGTGGAAAAAGACACCTATTTGAATTGATTCTCTATGGATATGAGGGTATTAGGGAAAATGCTGAAGATTTTGTTGATTCATACTTAAGGTTCTTGTAAGTGAGATCAACAGCCAAGCTTTGCCATGTATCTCATGCCAGAATTTTCTTTCCTTGGTCCTAAGCATGTATTTCATTAGACTATGTACCTTTCTTTAGCATATTGCCAAAGTGAATGTTGTGGGATTCTCTCACTTTGTGGAATATTAGGGAAGAGAAATTCTGTGGGTGGTTTCAATATGCCACGTGAGTCTGAAATCTATGTTGTTGTTTTTTATTTCCTACATCCTTTTGTTGTTAATTCCCAGTTTTAAAAACAACAGATTTCAGTGGTTGCTTAGGAAACCACAGAACCATGACTTTGGGAGAAACAGGATGATTAGGTGGGAAGGCACCATTTTTGGTGGAGCTGTAAGCACTTTTATATGTATCAGAATTGTCCGTGAAGTCCACTCCCCTCCCCATCCTGCTGGGGTTTGGTGGAGGGATAGACTGAGATACCAGCCAGAAGGGACTCCTTCTCCTCTGAGGTTAATGTAACCAGATACTTGGCACCTCAACACAAAAACAGAAAAAAAAAAAATCACATGGTTTCTGTAATGCTACTCAATTACTTCTAACCTTAAATGGGGAGAAACACCACTTCTGTGATCCCTGCCACCCAACTTACGTAGAAATTCCATTCTGGTCCAGTTCTGCAGAGGGCGTGGCAGTCCACTGACAAGTTTCTTTGTGTCATCCAAGGGTCACATTGTACTGTTGTCAGGGCGTGTGTCACTCCTGACCACCAGCAGATTTGAATGAATGAGAGCCAGGCCGCTGTATGATACCCATCCCTAACAAAGCAAGAAGTGGGACCTAATCATGCTTTCTAGTATGATGGGGCATACTCCTGGACAGTTATCGAAGGTTACAGACATTTTTAAGGATTATTAATAAGTCTACGAACCGTGGAGCAATTTGTCCTTTCGTTGCTAAGAAATAGCTGCAGACCGTGCTGTCAGGTATCAGCGTGGGAGGTGTCGGGGTCCTTGCTGTCACCAGCTGCTCCAGCCACCATCAGCCGTAACCTGGACCCTTGGGCAGCCGGAAGGCATTCCTCACCTTCGCCTCCCGCCAGTGACCGAGAAGGGCGTTTCCTTCCTTCGGACCTTTCCGTCTTCCTTCAGACACAGTCTCTGCGGGGTTTACCCAGCCTACTGATCCGCCCAGGGCTCTGGCCACCTTCACCCACCCCTTCAAGGCTCCAGTCTCGCTCTCCTCTCGGTCCTCTTGCTTCCCCTGTGTGGGACACACTTCACGGTCTGCAGCCAGCTCTTAGCAGCAGAAGGATAAACTGCACCATACTTCCTAGGCTTATTATTAATCCTTAAAAAAATCTGTGACCATTGATAAGTGTCAGGAATATGCCTCATCATACTAGAAAGCTTCATTAGGTCCCCGTAGCAAACCTTCCTTTCCTTTCATGCAACTTCTCAGACAGGGATGCACTGCATGTTATCATGTGTTAATGTCTGTCTCCCCTGTGGGCTGCTGAGAATGGGGATCACTCTTACTTGTTCGCCATTCCGGCCCTCCTGTGTCTGCTCCAGGGTGGACGCTTGGTGGAGATGTGGTGCAAGAAGGAAAGAAACAGAGCCAGGGGTAAAACGTAAACAATTCAGACCTGCCTGTGGATGGCCTCTCGTCCTGTGACTTATTAACTAACCAACGCTGAAAGTCCAGTGAATCAATAGCCCTGACCATAAGGGCAGACAGTTCATTAATGAATTTGCTAATGAAGCCATGGTTTCCTACTGAGCTTAGAACCAGTATATCGGGAAGGTGTATCTTCAAGTATATTCATTTTATTTCATTGTGAAAATTTATACTCGAAAGTTAATTACAAGAAGTCAAATCTTTTCTCAAATTTCCCCTTTCCAGGGGAAGCAAGCTCGCCGCCTTCTACAAACCATGATGTTAGACCTTAAGTTTCTTGAGGCTAAGCTTGCTGACAAGTCCTTGACAACAATTCTCGGGCATCGTTCATGCTCAGCAATTGTTTGAAAGGACAAGTAAATGTCACCCCTGGAGCCTCCTTGCTTTGCTCCCGGCTCTCCACCACGTGACTCTGCAGCATAAGCTCGGTGCTGCTAAGAGCTGGGAGGTGAGAGTGGAATTGGAGGCCAGGCAGGATGTGGAGGCTGGTGCGTCCGATGATGCTTTTCACTCTCACGCAAGTCAGAGCCAGCTTTGTGCTACTGACAAGACTGATGCCATTTCACTATAAAGAATATACAGTTTTCGTATTTTTGATTAAGCCTCACTCTAGTGTATTAAAGATGGGAATTTTAAACATACGAGATAATATTATTTTAAATAAGTACGTCACATTCTTGTAATCATATAATTATGTTTTAATTAAATAAATTTGATAAATTAAGCAGCCATTGTAAATTTCTTACAACAGTATATTGAAAATACATCATTTAAATATTAATGTTAAATATAAAAATGTTTATAACATCCGGAGTAAAAGACACAAGTATTGGTTTCATCCGTTTGAATATATGCTGTTTAAATTGGCACACCATCCTTGGTTCCCCAATTCATTTATTGATCTGTCCAGACAAATTGGTTTAAACGCCGACGCCGGGCAGAGCCCCGTGCCAGGTGCCCGGCAGGCAGAGATGTGGCAGCTCTCCCCCATGTTGGAGGTGCTCCCGAGGTCGGTGGCCCCGCAGGTGTAGATGTCAGCTCTTGCCGCCGGGCGCAGAGGTAACCTGGGCCTCTCTGACTGTCCCCCGCTTCCCACAGGGGACAAGTGCCTGTCGGACCTGCCCTACGACGGCAGCGCCAGCTACGAGAAGGAGAACGAGATGATGCAGACACACGTGATGGACCAGGCCATCAACAACGCCATCAGCTACCTGGGGGCCGAGTCCCTGCGCCCCCTGGTGCAGACGCCCCCGGGCAGCTCCGACGTGGTCCCGGTGCTCAGCCCCATGTACCACCTCCACAAGCCCCACGCCGAGGGCCCCGCGCGCTCCAACCACTCGGCCCAGGACGGCGCCGTGGAGAACCTGCTGCTGCTCTCCAAGGCCAAGTCCGCGTCCTCCGAGCGCGAGGCGTCGCCGAGCAACAGCTGCCAAGACTCCACGGACACCGAAAGCAACACGGAGGAGCAGCGGGGCGGCCTCATCTACCTGACCAACCACTTCACCCCTCACGCGCGCAACGGCCTGTCCATCAAGGAGGAGCACGCGGCCTACGACGTGCTGCGTGCGGCCTCCGAGGGCCCCGCGGACGCGCTGCGCGTGATCGGCACGAGCGGGGAGCCCCTCAAGGTGTACAGGTGCGAACACTGTCGCGTGCTCTTCCTGGACCACGTCATGTACACCATCCACATGGGCTGCCACGGCTTCCGAGATCCCTTCGAGTGCAACATGTGCGGCTACCACAGCCAGGACCGCTACGAGTTCTCGTCCCACATCACACGGGGGGAGCACCGCTTCCACATGAGCTAAAGCACCCCCCCACCCCCCCCCCCCCCCCGCCCGCGGACCGCGCCCCACCCCCAGGAAGAGCATCCGGGACCCGCGCCAGCCCTTGCGCGGGCAGCCGGGATGGACCGACTGCTGTGCTTTGACCTCTAGGTCGTGTTTCGTTTTCTTCTGAGTTGGTTTGCTTTTGAAAACAAGAAGTTTTTCTTGTTAGATGCAGGGTTCCACTCGGAGCCCCCCAAATGCTCTCTTACTAGACAATTCTGTAGACCGCTGGCTGAAATCCCCTCCCCTGTTGCTCCCTAGAAATTGCTGTCCTCCAAATGATGGGTCATGTTCGGAGAGAATTTTATAAAAACAGGCGGAAGCCCGGGAAGGAATGAGCCAGTTCCGTGCTAAGCATGGGACTCGTGCCCCAGATGGGGTTTCCGAGGTCCCAGGAGCCGTGTGCACAGCCCCTGAGCTGTGGTCGTGAGCTGACCCTGGGGGTGAGTGCCCCTACAGCAGGGCTGGAAGTTACGTGTGCATCCAGGGAAGACAGGCCACAGGTTCTAAACAAAGATATGATTCTAAGTCAAATTCTGCACATTGTGGGGTACAAGTGACCATTGGGCAGAGGGAGTGAGGGGTTGCAGAGCCTTTGGATTCATTCTCGATTTCCAGACCGTGAGGTTGCTCAGCCCACAGCTAAGCCTTCCGAGGCCTGTTGTCACGTGGGATGAATTCCTGTTCCCCTGGGGCACCTGGGACTACTGTCCTCTGCTCCCTCATACCGGTACTTTTAAGGGCCACCCCCAAAACCTATCACTACATTTTTAACACCAGTCCTGAAATTTGAACCGTAATTCCTTTTGAAACGTTCAGACAATAAAATCCCCCAGAAACCAAAATTTTATTCTAAATTCTACACTCATTTCTTTGGTTCTGTACTCCTTCCCCGCTGGGTTCTACCTATGACAAGAAGGCTATTTTCCCTACTGAAGGCCTGTCCTAGACCTCATTTAATGTTTTGTTTGCAGCCCCAGGCCTGGATTTCTTACCGTCAGTACATTTCTTACCCTGCTCGCTATGTATATTATTCTCATTTTAAAATCTTTAAAAGAAGGATTCAGAATGACCCTTCATTTTTAGGTCAAGGAAGTTTGACGGGTGAAGTCCGGGAGATGCTTCTCACACACAGCACCTATTTGTTTGAAAGTAAACTTTCCAACCATCTGAAACTCTCTCCTGTAAGGACAGAGCTGCACCCTGCATCCACGTAGGCAGGACGCACCCGTCTGACTCGGGACCATCTCGTGACCAGAACTCGAAGTCCAACAGGACAGAGGCAGGTGGCCCCAGAGGTGCTCTCTGAAGCTCCACGAAGGTGTCCGTGGGTTCTCATCCCAACCAGGAAGGTAATTCTGTCATTAAGGACATTCATCTCCACCATCTAGCGGGAAGGGCATACAGTTTCAAATGTTTCCAGTATTTGTCGTCACCAAAAATGTCCAAGGTGACCGTGAAGAAACAGGAAAAATTGTGCACAAGCACCTCTGCATTTCATCTAAATCCAGAGTTCTTGGGCTCAGCTCTCTTGACATTTGGGGCTGGATACTCTGTTGCAGGGGACTCCCCTGGGCATCATAGGCTAACAGCATCCCTGGTCACTACCCGATAGATGCCAGTAAGACCCCGAGTTGACTACCAAAAATGTTCCCTGGGAACAAGAGTGGCCCCTAGTGAAGAACACTGCTCTAAGCAAATTCTGAACCAGTCAAGGGTCTGGAGGCCTTCCAAAGGGTCTGGAAGGGTCTGGAAGCCCTGCAAGAATGTCCCCCATCAGCAGGCTGGAGCCTGACTCCTGCTCCTTTGGATTCATTATAAATTCTATCAATGAATTATCCCTCTCCAGTCTTCAGAAACATACCCTCTCAGGTGCATTTGAGTTTTCTGGAAAGGATGGCATCCCAGCATCCTTGAGGCATGGGGTTCTTTGCTTACAGAACCGTATGACATTTTGAACCTGGAAATAGACAAAGTTGTAATAATTTGGGCAGTGACACACTGATGCACTGGGTGAAGGGGCAGGGGGAGGCTCTGGGCTGTGGACAGTGTTAGTTCCATTTGCAGTTACAGAGAAAGACCCACCTCATCCCCGAGAACATATATATTCAAGGTGAGAGACTGCTTAGATTTCCAGTTTGTAGGCCAAGTTCACCTGCCCTGTCCTTTCCCAGCCAGCTCCACAGGGTCCATTGGCTGAACGGAGTTATTTTTCCCTGTGACTTCAAACAGAGCTGGACCCACCACTGTAAATAGTGGCTACAGGAGTTCTTTTCTCCAGGGCTTTCCCCTCCCTGTCTCTGCCTTTTATAGACAATATAACTGTTTATTTACACACCTTTTGTTGTGGTTCTCTCTTGTAACACCATTTTTCTTTCAAACTATTGTATTTAAAGTAAGGTTTCATATAATGTCAACAAGTAATTAAATTATGTTTGAAAAGCGGCCATGTTCTGTACGGAAAGCTGTTAACATTTTCCTCCTAGCTGGTAAAAGTAGGATTTTGCATGATCTCACTCCCTCTTGTTCTGTGGTTTGTTCTGCTGTTTGATGGTGTGAGTGTGTGTCTCGGGGACTGTCATGGATGCCCTAGGTTTCATGCATTCTCGTTTCATTGAAAATAAATATCAACCAAAGGAGGGGGCACCAGTAGCAGGTGGATTCGTTGATCACAACGAGAAATCCCTGCTTGGTGTTCCTGCTGCTCCATGTCACCCAGCTTCCCTCCACGCAAAACACATGGATGCCCGCTCCTTACCCAGGTCCTCCTGCATCGCGTCCCTTAAAGCATGGGCTTGTCCTAGTAGAAGAGCCACTAAAAGGAATTGTGTTACCATTGCTTTATCGCCCGAGGGCATGTCCCAGCACCCAGCGCTTCAGATACCCGCACGTTTCACTTCCAATTCAGAACCAACCACAGAATGAAATCTCAGAATCTTCACTGAGAAAGACAGCTACCTGTTATGGAGATGTGAGTTCTTTTTCTTTCTTTTCTATTTTTGTGCTTTTTTTTTGTTTTGTTTTGATTGTGACTCTCAATAGTGTCATCTTCTTGCCAAAACAAAAGCGAGATGGAATGAACTGCTGTAGACAAGTCATGAAGCAAATGTATTTCTCTCTCTTGCACTTCTGAAGTTCCAGCAATAATGAAGGGTCACCACTACTCAAAACCCAGGTCCCACTCCTTCAGTTCAGTGTGTGTGTGTGTGTGTGTGTGTGTGTGTGTGTGTGTGTGTGTGTTTTACTTTAAAATGAACCAAAATTAGAGTTATTTAAGATATACCGACATCAGAAAAAAAAAAAAAAAGCACATAGGCTGTTGGTGCCATAGTATTCACTGTGAACCCATGTAACCAGATATGCATATGCAGTCTTGTTTCCAATACTTTCTGATACACTTTTTTACAATGTTGTGTGTGATGACTGTTCAGGGCTCAATTTGTTTGTATCTAATGCAGTTAGATACTGGCAGTTACATGTACAGGATTGTAAATGGGAGAATGCAGTTGTATTTCCAATCTGCCTCTATGACGATGTTAAATTATTTCTGTTTTGCTGTGAACAAGGGGTGTACCCCTGGAGGAATAGAGTATCCTTTTGTACACATTTTGAAAATCTTCCTCTGTAGTGATAGAACAAATAAATGCAACAAATACTCTGTCTGCCCTATCCTGTGAAGCCCACGCTAGTCTGAGAGAAGGTCCTGCAGAGCTGCCGCCTGCTACAGACCCCCTCCAGGCTGGAGGAGACAGAGGTGGGCTTGGGGGTGGGTACAGTACAAGTTGGAATCATGTGTGATCGTCTGCGTACGACGTTGCTGCCAGTGCGTCAGTTCACTTCAGCAGAGTGACACCCCGCCCCCGCCCGGGGCCTAGCTGTGCTGGGCTTAGGGTACTTGTGAGTTTGAGGGTAGGTAGAAGTCGTGAGCAACAAGACATACATCCCTGGCTCTTCGTAGAGCAGTGCTTAATGTCGCAAGCAGCAGGCCCGTGGCCCGGGGAGCCCAGAGGCAGTGACCGACCGCAGTGACCACCTGGTGGCACTCTCCCTGCAGAGCTGCACACTTAGGGCAGGGGCGCTTCAGCTCTGCCGCAGACCCGCGCTGCTGCAGACACTCTCGGTGGTGAAAACCCTCTGGTCCTTTTGGACAACTAGCCAGACATCCTATGGGTTCAAATCTACTAAACAAGGTGAAGTGACTAAGTTTCCATGGTCCGACATTTGACCCAAATGGGGCGAAACTTTAATGAAATCCATAGACTGTACTGTTTCACATCAGGCTCTGGCATCAGGGGCTTTTCGTAAGTGGTGTTGGCTGAGGCAGCATCCTTCAAAGGAAGTTCTCATGGTGAATGCCTCCTTAAGTTACAGCACTGACAGTGCGCGTGAGTTCTGAAAGAGCGTGTGGCTTAGACGTGATGACGCACCCACTGCCAGATCCATCCCACCGTTTCACAGCTATGTCCTGTCATTTCTCAGTGATCACAGGTCCAAAAAATAAAGAAGGCTTGCATTAACTCAGAAATGACCTAGGCTCAACCTAAGGAGAAAAAGTGACTCAGAAGTGTGGGATTAGACCGTGAGAGTTGAGGACGTGAGTGTGTTTGTGTACATCTTACAAAGCCTAACGAGTGTGTGTGGAAGGGATCTGAGGGGAGCAGCTGCCTTCCCTCCTCTCTCCAGCCTCCCTGGTGCCCATCGACTGAGCATGGGGGGTGGGGGCGGGGGCGTCTGTCCTGGATCCCGGGACATGGCGACAAGTGAGGGTGAGCCTTCAAACACCCACTTCAAGAGCCACTATCAAGACGAGACTTCATTCCTTGGTTTTCACTACCTTTTATTCTACTTGAGTCCTCCTAAGAATGATTATTCTCGGCATGTCTTTCTGATGCTGTAAACCGTCATTCCCATTAACCTTCCTCTGGGCCCCTGCGAACTTGTAGTGAGTCAGTGGTATATCCACTCCATGCACCCAACCC